CATGGCAAGTTGGAGAACAGCAAGAAGTGGGCAGAGATGGCCGAGAAGTTAAACTCCATTGGAGGGGCAGTTAAATCTGTCGAGCAATGGCAAAATGTAAGTATAAGTGATGAAGTAGGGGCATTTCCGGAAATGCATTACTGCCAAACATCGCACCTCTTATGCCAATAATGTTTTTGCTGAAATCAGACATTATATATTTAAGTATAAAAAGAGGTGCTTTGCAGTAAGGCATTTCCGAAAACGTCCTACATCAAAGAATAGTAAAGTGTGAAAGTGTGTTTCTATTATTTTACAAAGGTCTGGCGCGACTTAAAAGTCGAACATCAACGCGAGTTCGTGATCGTAAAAGGGAGCAAGCGTTGACGGGGAATTTACCGCTTCAACAGCCTCCCTTGAGCGAACTAGAAAAGCGGGTAATAGCTCTAGTGGGAAGCAGCTATATGGAGGGGCAACCGGATGTGCAGGAGAATATTCCCATGGAAGAGGTAAGTTGAATTATATCGTATTAAATAAATGCTAATCATATTGTAATTTTCATTATGCTATTTTTAGAACCTGCAAGTGGCCTTGGGGGCGGCGGACGAAAACTTCCGCCTAGTCGTGGAGGAAGATGTAGACACCATCCTCCTACCTCCATTAACGGTGTCAGAAGGCGATTCGGAGCTTCGGTGCGAAACTCCGAAAACTCCGAGTCAGACACCGCGCAGGACCGCCAAGCGAAAACGGACGGAGGAATCTCCAACAAAGACAGGTTTTTTAAAAATTGCGGAGGCACAGGCCGAATCGGAAAGGGTATTTTTTTTAAATATTGTATTTTTATTGTATTATTAAAAAACCCTTATTTTCTTAGTTGCTTGCTGAAAGTGCTGCTACGAACGCGGAGGCCAACCGTTCTAATGCTGAGGCAATTAGCAGGATGGCTGCTGCCACAGAGCAAATGGCTACCGCCACTGCAATAACGGCACAGGCCTTCACGGTATTGGCGGAGGGGGTGAAAACTTGTGCGAATGCTTTCGCCGAGTTTACTCGTACACTGGGCCCTCCCCAATAGATGTAAATATTTTTTGGACATATGAATGTATATATTTTTATTAATAGCACAGGCCTGCGAAATTTAAATTTTTTCCCCCGCACCAATAATGTTTTTTTTTTTTATATCTGGGTATGTTAAATTAAAATACATCTTTGGTTCTTTCTAGCACGTCGAGATTTTTTTATTGCTGACATGGATATTTTAGAATTTTTAGCAATTTGCATGAAAAGCCAAAAACTCGTTAATTTAAAATTGAATGTTTACTTAAAAACCGACAGTATTAGTTAAAAATAACCATAAATAGATTAAGTAAATCATCCAAACTTATTTATTTTCGAAGTTAACGCTTGTATCAATTTTCTTCGAAATTATATAAGTGTTTCTGATTTACTTAGTCTATTTATGGGTATTTTTAATTAAAACTGTCGGTTTTTAAGAAAACATTCAATTTTAAATTAACGTGTTTTTGGCTTTTCATCAAATTGCTAAAAATTCTAAAATATGCATGTCACCAATAAAAAAAACTCGACGTGCTAGAAAGAACCAAAGATGTATTTTAACTTAGCATACCCAGATATTAATAAAATAACATAAGAGCGGGGGAAAAAATTGAAATTTCGCAATTTAGATTAAGGTTATTATTAATTTATTTATTGTTGTAGTGCCTTTTTACTATTTTACTGTTTTTTAAATGAATTGTAGTTTAATGAATGTGGTTTTCCGTATTTGTTTTTTAGTGATAAGTGTTTGTTCCTTAAGTATACGGTAATTTTTTTTTAAGTAATCGCTATGTTTTTCATCTATAAATATGTTATTTTTCATTTAAAAACCTGGCTTATATTTTGATAAATACTACACAAATCCAAGCTTCACACTGTGTACGTAATTTAGAAGTATTTGGCCAAGTTTCATCAAAATTGCAAGCTTTTAAATAAGAGTTTATCTAAATTTAGAAATTCTTATTAAAAACTTTGTAATTTTCATTAAACTTTGGAAAATACTTCTTAACTATGTATTCAGTTTAAAACTTGGATTTGTATGGTGTTAAAATATAAGCCATGCTTTAAAACCAAATAAAAAAACATTTATGGCATGAAAAACATTGCGAATATTTACAAGGAATCACCATTTTGATAAATGAATTATTTAATTTTTATTTATTGAAAGCTTAGCTTTATTATTACTTTATTTAATTTTTCTGATGTTACTGTACTGAGTTATTGTTGTTTTCGGAATAAATGAAATGAAATGAAAACATGAAATTAGATTTTGTGTGTACCTGACTTATTTAATAAAAAGTTAATTTTATATTTTTAATTATAATATATAATTTATTATATCAAAAAAGAATTAATTTCTAAGGCTAAATAGTATGATTTTATTTCATTAGTTTTCTTACAGGCTACTGAAATTTTCTAGTGAAACTTAAATATGTACTTATAGTTGAATATAATTTGGATGTGTCAGATTAGCACTTTTTTACTTGTAAATAAACTGGCAAAATGAAATATTGCATTATATACATAATGCCAAATTTTGGGTTGTGTAACTTTTGAAAAGAGTGTGCGATATGTACATATTTGTTACTTATTAAATAAGTGTCAGGGTGGCGGTAATGTTACGGCATAATCCTTCTTGGTTATCAAACCGGTTCTTTAATTGACGCACTGCGCATTTGCTAGCCGTGTACCAGTGTCAGCCTTACCCTGCGCCCATTAGCCAGTTTCTGCGGGTTTCTAAAAATATGCAAGAATAAAAACAAATGAATATATTTTCCATACCTTTGGAAAAAATATTAGGGCTGTTCAGAATATTGTGGAAATGGTCTTGGATTTGCAGTTGGAATTGCATTTGCAAATTTTATGCTTGCTGCCATGGCAATCGTGTCCATTTTATTGTTGCGAATTTACAAATGCAACGGATATGCAAATGTAAGAGCCTATGCACAAAATCCTGAACAGCCCTATTGTTTTTCAATTACCCAAATTAATATTATCCGGTTCACGTTTGAGAAATTGTCGGATTGTATACCTATTTAAAAAAAAACAAGCATTAACAAATATACATTCCAAATCTTAAACATTTCTTCTATGCATTACCCTACACACGCCCAACAGCGGCAGCCTCTGCGTCTTCGTGCATTGCCTTTGCGCTGTGTTGACTACTCCGCTTTAATATGCATGATTAAGGTAATGTTTAATATGTCAATCCAGCTGACACCCATCAACGCGAAGGTGCATGCATTTTAATTCAAGGGTGCTCTCTCGCTTAAGCTTGTATTGCGCGACTGGTGTATCAATGTATTGCCCATGGTGTTCATTTACACTCCGATGGGGCTCAGGCAGACCAGCGAGTATTATACCAACAGAATTGATGTAGTAGTGTTTCTCTTTTGGTAAATAACCCTTCACAATACCATCCACCACATTACTTGCTACGATTGAGGGCGCGATTGGCAAACTGAGTAGCTGAACGCATGTAACATACAGTGCATGTGCTGGCGCATTGGGGAATTCATTGAAGAAACAGGCGGTGCTGAAAGTGCGCGTGCGCTAATGCCCTCCAAGATTCTATAAAACATGTTTGTTTAAATATTTTAATTGAATACAAAAAACGAGTACGTACTTACATACATATATGCCACTGTATAGGTAGTTTTGAGGTTTGAAAACAGCGGACAGCAATTCCTAAAAGAGTTAATGAAAATAAACCAATTATAAAAAATGGGGTTGTTTTAGGGCTGTGCGATTATTCGATTACTCGAGCAAGTTGGTTAATCAGTTGTTCGGTTAATCAATTACTCCAGTAATCAATATTTTGATTAGATAGATAATGATCAGGGAACGGATTTTATGGAAATTGCCTTTTTTCTGCTAAAGAGATAGAGTATATTCGATTAAGAATGTCCACGGTTTAGCTTTCGCTGATTCCATATATATACACTTGATGTTGCCTTTTTTGCCTTTTTTAAGATATTTGCCTTTTTTAAGATGTTTGCCTTTTTTTGCCTTTTCTACATTTAAAAAAGTGACTATAGCATTTACAATTTTTTTTTTTTTAAGATTAAAAAATATACTCATGCCCATGCGGCTTATAGAAGCGCAGGGACCTCTTGCCAAATTGGTGTTGAAAAAATTCAAAGCCGTTTTCTCAGCAAACGTAGGCTTGGAGACAATAAGGGGTGTGGATAAAATTGTAAAGGGCAAAGAAAACGCCCTTATTCCTGATAATATGAACGTTTCAAACGTTCCATATTTAAATTGGGCTCCACTTGTATCACTTTCGTCGAGCGCACATTTAGTACATTCAAGGCTTTTCTTCGCGAAAATCGAATGAAAATGCTGCCAGAAAACTTCAAAATGCATCTTGTGGTTCAATGTTACTACAACTATACAGCTTAAAGTTTTATGAGTTAGAAACTCGAAAGGATAAAATAGTCAAAGATTCAAAGTACAAATTTTTCATATAATGAAACTACTTCATAGTTTTTCTCTTTTTACTTTTAATACAATCATTTCTAAAATAAATATATTTTTTGATTGTTCTTAATATTTTCTGTCTTTTTTTAGTGCCTTATTTTGCTTTTTTGGAATACCTTTTTTTTTGCCTTTAGGTCCTAAAAATCCGTTCCCTGATAATGATTAATATGATATAAATTAAGATAAATCAATTAATCGCACAGCTCTAGTTTGGTTCTTCCAAATAGCTTACGCAAGAATCCTTCAAATGCCCACGGGTTCGATTTTGGTGTGAACGAGCAAT